AAAACAAAACCTCCCCGTTTTTTTTGGGCGGGGGCGTAAGTTTTTTCCCCCCCCCCCCCCCCCCCCTCTCATGGCGAATGGTCCAACAACTAAGGCATGAAACAGATTTGGTATGCAACATGAGTACGCAACCCCCCCCCCAAGCAGTCGACGGTCTAACCCTTGCGACATGCGAAACATGAGTGCACCCCCCCCTCGCACACGCCTGGCAACGACGTTGTAAAATAAGCCCCCCACTCGGTGTTTGCCATCGGGATTGGGTTTTCGTCGCTTGGCAACGACGTTGTAAAAGAAGCCAATTCACTTCGTGAACTCGGCAACCAGGTTACCGTTTTTTTTTTTTTTTTACCTCGTTTTTTTTTTTTTTTGGGGGTAACCATAATGGTGGTCGAGTAAATCATGTTGTGCGGGGTCGAAAAACCTCACTCCGCGCAACGGGGGATGATCGCACCACGTTGTGTTACAATGGTCAAGCTTCCTCGAGGCAGTTACACAGTGCTTACAACTGTCTCTGGAGGTGAAAGCACCAGAAAATAAATTAAGTCATACGTAGCTGTCATCCGTACGCAAGGAAGTAAGCACAAGATGCCGAACACCCTTAGCAGGATGCAGCTCACCCTTCATGCGACTCGCCAAATACCTCACGGCGCTTCGCGCTTGGTGATGTGAGAGCCTGGTCCGGTGAGAACCCGGCATGCTCCGTCCCGGCTTTGTAGGGATGCGAGGTCAATGGTCAAACGACTACGGCATGCACGACTATGAGTACACACCCCCCTCTCATGGCGAATGGTCCAACAACTAAGGCATGAAACAGATTTGGTATGCAACATGAGTACGCTCCCCCCCCCCAAGCAGTCGACGGTCTAACCCTTGCGACATGCGAAACATGAGTGCACCCCCCCCTCGCACACGCCTGCTTGCCATGTTCCTGCCGTCGAATCGTACAGGTGTGAAGGCGTTATTGGCAGCCTCGCCTTCGTCGCTAACCGCAGGACGCCTTTCCTGGTGGCGGAGCGGGGGCGGGGGGAGCTTCGTGGCTCCTGTAGCGAGCAAACCATTAGCAGCGAACAGAAGAGGCGTCGGCGCCGGCGCCGGCGGCAGCGTGGCGAACGGCTGGTCGGCAGCAGCAGCGGGCAGCGGAAGAAAGGAGGTCGGAGGCGAGCGGCGGGGGCATTCCTTCCGCATGGTAACGGTGAGGAAGTATCCGGCGGCACCAGCGGCCCCTCTAAGAACGATGTTGTGATCGGCTCAGGATGTGTAGACCACGACACCTGGCAAATGACGACGAGAAAATGGCTAGTGACGTTTCCGCTCCCCCGTCTGCTGCACATCATGTTCATGTCTGGTGTTGATAAATTAGCTTGGCCGTATCACACAAGAAAGAGAGTGTTATTAGCAAGGCGTTTGGTGGCTTGTCTCGCCCCCGAGTGTTGGTGGTGCACGCCGTGAGGCAAATGTTTGTCTTTCTCTCTTTGTACTTCACGCCACCATTGGCGGTAGCAGCAGGAACTTTTCCCTCAAGTTTCGCCGCCTTTCCCGGTCTAGCGTTGACGGGTTTTTGGTGATTACAGGTTGCCCCATGTTTTGTAGATGTACAGGTTTACATCTCTCCTTCCTTTGACCACACACACTCACTCTTCGGACTTGTTTTTTTATTTGTTGGCCGTGACTGGCAGCGGCTGGAGATCGTGAACGACGCGGATATTCCTGAAACGGCCGAGTTTTTCGTGGAAAACTTCTGGGACGACGCGGTTGCACCGTCCCAGGTACGGCGGTAGCGGTCACGGTCACGGTCACGGTCACGGTAAGGCATGCCCACCATGTACATCACTCACGCGTTCCCGTGGGCCGCTGTTCTGTCGTCGACACCTTGTATTTCAACAGCTATTATAGTTGTTGTACTTCGCGGCAAGCACTTTGAGAATATCCTGCATGAGCTTGCTTGCTGTCGTGTGCGTTGTGTGAACTCGGTGTTGCGTGGGCATCGTATGCATGTATGCGTTTAGTACGCACGCCAGCGTTTGGCAGTGTAGTGTTGAGCGTCACGTGTTGCTCTTTGCGCAGCCGAAGCCGTACCGTACGTGCGTTGCTATGTAGTTCATTGTTTGTCAGCAGACTGATCCTTCTCTTGGTATCTATGTTGTCACCTCCGCTCAAAGATCCCGCCGCTCCTGCTTGATGTTGTGGCGATGATTGCCGTGGTGGCGAGCAGAAGCGATCGCTGGTGCGAGAGCTGGTGAGCGACTACCGACGACGCTACGGCACGCTCATGGGGAATCGAAAGGTGTTTTTGATTTGCTCATCGGTCTGTCTGTGTCTTTGTTGTCTTTTTCTGACTCATGTGTCTGTGTCTCTCAGGCTGGCGGGTTGTACATATGTTTCTTGCTTGTACCGGAATTGTAGCGTGTTGTAACCATGATGCGCAAAACACGGTATCGACCTATCTTGGCTACCTATCCCTTCGAGTCGAGGTGGTATATTGACGCCCCATCTATTCGACGTGCGTGCGTCGACCTACCGGACATTTAACCCTCCAAAATCAATATCGACGACGACGACGACGACGACGACGACGACAACAACAACAACCGCCACTACCACCACCACCACCAACACCAACAACAACAACAATAACAACTACCAACAACGACCAACAACGCCGCCGCCGCCGACAACAACAACAATAACCACCACCACTACCACCACCACCACCACCAACAACAACAACAACAACAACAACAACAAAAACAACGACCACCAACGACCAACATCAACAACGACCACCAACGACCACCACCAACGACGACGACCACCAACGACCACCAACGACGACGACGACGACGACGAAACAGCTGCAGAGCATGCTCATGGTCGCGAGGGGAAACGGGGGCGAGATTATCGGCTGCATCGCCGTCGAGGTGTCGGTCTGCATGGGGGAGGTGAGCGAGAAGCGGAGGTCGTCCCGTCGCAGTTCGTACCCTCTCATTCCCTCGGGCATTACAGTAGTTATCACCACGACCTTTGGGCCAGAGGGGGCCGGCGGCAGGGACTCAAGAGGGGGTGGGGGGCATTGCGACTCGATGGTTGAAGTATCAGATCCCCCCAGACGATGTTCCCCGAAGTCTCTTGTACCTGGGAAGCCGCAGTGACACCCCGTGGGGGGATATTATCTACCGCAACCCTGCGTTGCTTCTCCGGATGACGAGATGGTGTCAAGGGCAATAGGGGGGCGAGTTCCCTGCTCCGGAAAGAGACACTGAAAATACACGCCCGTTTGTCGTTCAGGACAGAGATTGTGCCATTCTCTCGTGTGAGGGGAAGAGGTGATATTGATATTCTTTCATCTTTGGGCTGGGGAATCGATTACGCTACGAGCGCTACACATAAACGACTGGGGTGGGGCGCGGCGGCTTCTTCGTCATGCAGGGCCGCTCCCACCACCTAAGCAAGCTCTTTTCATGCTCTCCTCCTATGGTAGAAGCATTGCCAGCCACCCCCAACCTATCCCACGCGCTGCTACTCATGCTTGGTTGCGGCAAGTCCTACCGCATTTACAACCCGCAGGCTCGCTTTAACATGAGTACCAACAGTTCGACGGGTTCACGGAACCCATCGAAGGCGCCCTTCACAATCTCGAGGAGGCCTACGACGCTTCTGCTGCTGGTGACAGAGCGTCGTAAGCCATCCTCACGTAGGTGAATAGTGCCTTCAGTGGGTTCCTGAACCCTTCGAACTGTTGGTACTCATGTGAAAGCGAGTGTGCGGGGTGTAAATGCGGTGGGACCGCCCTGCTGTTCTTTGCCGTAACCAGGCGTGATGCCTTCCGAAGCGTTTTCCTCCAGCTTGTTGACGTGCATTTCCTGTGAACGAACGCCCGAGCTCCTATGGCCCGGACCCCCGAACGGTCTGGTTCTTCGCTGCACAACTTGTTTAGGGAGAGCTCTGGTTATTTGCTGGCCATGAATAGGGAGAGCACCCACCGATAGCTCGGTGGGGAGAGCGGTAGATTAGGAAAACTGCTGTTTCACGTATCACGTCGCATACGCAGCCTACGACCGTCACACCTTGCCCCAACGAGACAAACATTCTGTCGTGCATCACCGCTCCTGCAACATGAAAAAAGGTTGTCGAAGTCCACCGCGCCCAAACTTTGATTCCCCTTGACTGCCAACCCCCTCCCCCACGGAAATAAATTGTAGAGATGCGAAGGCTACGGCGTGCGTTTACATTTTGAAAGTGTAACCCCCCTCAAGATATTACAGCCTTGCATCGAGTCAAGGGAGTGGTGAATTTGCGGTGGTGATGACTGGGTCGGAAAAAAATCCTCGTGTGCTACGGTTAACGCCCGTACTTAAGAACCTCTCAATAGTGTTGGTCGGGGCTGGGGTTCTTACCGTATTCCTAGGGTCATGCTACGAATGGTCGCTATATAGGTTTTAGTGTAGGTTCTTAACCGAGCCCACAAGTGGTGCTCAACTTCTTATACATATATTGATTTTTTTCTCAAGTGCGGGCAAAAACTGTTGGTACTCGCGTATGTGTGCGGTTTCGGTAAAACCTGCTGCCGCTGCTCTACTTGCCGCCGTTCGTTCTCAGCGCGTGGGGGTGAAAGCGCGAGGGATCAGCCCCAATGCGGAGGGCGCGGAGCTCCGACCGATCCTCGCCAACCTGGCCGTGGCGCGCTCGGAAAGGTATCTATTAGTCTATCGGTGTTTGCTGAAAGAAAAACGAAAGTAATACTTGTTGTTCGTTGTTCGTTGTTCGTTGTTCGTTGTTGCTGTTGTTGTTGTTGTTGTTGTTGTTGTTGCCTTCAAAATAAAAACCGTTCTGGTCTCTGCTCGGTGCGCTGTGAAAAAGGTGTTGCACCGTGTGTATGTACTTCTTCCATGCCATGACGTCATTTCCGTGAGCTCGTTGTATTGTACCACCACGGTCAAACGACAGCGTGTGTGTGTTGTTTCACGCACGTGTGCTTTTGACATTTTGTCGACGACCCGCCCCCCCCCCCCTGGTGTCCGTCGACGCCTTTGCTCCGTTCTCCATCGCTCTGCGCGCGGAACCCCCTCAGGAGAAAAGGGTTGGCCAAACGGCTGGTGAAGCACTGCGAAGATGTGTGCAGGGTAAGCGCGTAAACGCGGCAGCGTACTTCTTTGGTGATGCATAAGTATTACCATATGCCTTTCCGCTGACAGGCTAATGAAGTACCGCGAAAAGGAGCAACGGTATTGAATTAACGACAATGCAATGCACTGATGCTTTTTCTCTCTTTTTCTCGCGATACTACAACGGAGGAAGGCAATCCTGACCTTCGCTTGCTAAGAGCACCCGACGGAACAATCTTTCGCCAGAAGAACAGAATTTACTTCCATCTCCCCAAGAGCAGGCGCTTGAAGTAGTAGTGAAAAAGGCATTTTTTTCCCAGGAGTCTGCTGCCCCCAGGCGCGCGAAGCCTTGCAGGGTCGGCTTCGGTCTTCGGCTAGACGGCCAACGGGAAAACCAAACCGTCACAAACCGCACTGTGCGGTACGGGACCTCACGCACCAACCAATACTGACTACTATTTCCCAGGGATGGGGATACGACGAAGTTCTTCTGCTAGTGGAAGAAAACAACAAGCGGGCGAGAAGACTCTACTCGAAGCTGGGGTACAAGGTACGGAACCGATTCCGCCGCCGCCGCCGCCGCCGCCGCCGCCGCCGTCGTCGAAATGGGAGCCGCAAAGAAAACAACTGCGAATTAGTCGCTATAATGTTCAAAATATCCCGGACTCTTAGCAGAGACGAATTGTTGTGTTGTTGTAGGGAACATGAAATGAGAACGGGGCGACGAGGGTTATTGATGTATGCCGGTAGATAACGCCTCTCCCTCTCGGACGTCCGCTGATGCTCACCCTGTTTTGTAGGGTGGGGTAAATATGCGGGGGGGGGTTGCCGTTGGACACTGAGATATTTGATCCCTGATTGGACTCAACTTCCGTTTGGACTGCTGCCGTACACTAAGCCAACACATTATCCGTACACCGATCGCCCCCCCCCCTCCTCCTCACAAGCTTTTAGTTGTTCGGAACGGGCCCGTAACTTAAAAAGTAACGTCAAATTCGGGTCGAGGCTCTATTTCTTCTCTTGTCGCCACCCCCGAGATCAGGTTGTTGTCTGCAAGAGTTTTGTGCAGGATCCACCGCCGGGTTTTGTTTTCTTACTACATCTACGTTCCTTTCTTGTTTTTCGCGAAAGTCTGATCCTGTCATTGTCAACGGGATATTTCTTGATTGCGGGCCCCTTTCTGTAGTCCCGTGTGTCACCCCAAAGCGATGCTTGAGCATGTGTTGTTGGGTCACCGCTGTAGGGGGGAGGGGGAGAGTTGGGGTATATATTCAAAGTGGGGCATATTTTTACCAGATTCATTCCTCTCCACCACACGTCTCTCTCCGTCGAGCGAGTTGGCGACGAGATTTCTGCAAGAGAACGAAAAACACAAAACCTCGCTCCCAACCCAAATCCGTTCCCAACCAATCCGGCGGGACCTTGCACCGTCAGCGCAGTTGCCGCTGCTCACTACACCGCTGTTTCCTCTGCCGCTGCTTCTTTTAATTGTGGCCTTGACTAAACGTGTGACGTAAATAATCGTAAGAGCGTCCGTCGTCGATGTGCGTTTTTTTTTTTCCTCCGGCAGATGCTGTTCAGGGACACGAAGGCCAAGAAGATTCTGCCGGACTCTTACCAGATCAGGGACGTCCCGTGCGTGAACGTGTGCATGCGGAGAGATCTCAACGCCAACATCTTCTCCAACCTGTTCGCGATGATCCGCCAATAGCCCTGCGAAATAGTCGTCGACTGCCATGGGTGCTCCGTACGCTGCTGATTTGGCTCTTGGGGTGTTTGTTTGTCTCTCTCGGTTGGCATCGTTAGTGGCCGATAGCCCGGTGACTTCAATAGGCGCTCCGTAGCTGCTGATGATTTGGTGCGTCGGACATGTGAAGGGCTCTCGGTTGGTATGGTATCTAAAGCTAAAGTTAGCTTGGTAAAAAAGTGGCAGCTGACACTCTCACACAACACTATTGGAAGCTGGTTTCGGATTCCACAGAGTGCAATAGAAGAGGTGTCGTTTGTTGGTGGCGTAGCTAAACTACGATAGACCGCAGCCTGTGCTATACCCAAGCGTCTCGGTTGATTTCGGACGGAGTGGTACGCATTACAGACAAGCTTTTTGGGCTTGCTGGGGCTGCTTTCGCACCAATATACCTGGCATTAGTGTAGTTTGTTTCGTCCAGTCCTACTGGAGAGCACAAAAAAGTAAGAAAAAAAATGATGGTGAAAAATGTATATTCCTCGTAGTTTACCAACGGGAAGGAAGAGGTTTGTGCACGGCCACACCTCTCTCCTGTCTTGCGTTGTAAGCATCACGTGTGTACCATCTACACCACAAAGATAAGGTACATTGTACCGTTTTTCGTTTTCCATCTCTGGGCCGTTTGCCCCCCCCCCACAACAACGACAACAAGCAACGTGGCGTGGGTTTTTCTTCTGCGTCTGGGATTGGCCTGCACAACCTACATGAATATATGCACATCATGAGCGAGTTCGTTCGTTCGGCGATTGGTTTTGTCTTCGCTGAGTGTCGTCCAACAACGGTGCTCCATGCATCGCTCCGAGAGCCACCATCCCCCATTCTCCCCTCGGCGGGGAATCGACAGCCGGGTGTTTCTGTGCGGGCAAACACCTTCGCGGACTTTTTTTGCCGGCCGGAGTGCGAGGACAACGAGTGCCTCTTCGTTTCAATCCTTTGGCCGTGTGCGTGACAGATTTTAGAAGCGCTACTTACCGCCGTTGTGTGATGACCATCAGTTGCTCGCTGTCGGTAAGACCCCGCGCGAAAAACGCCGTTAGTTACCGGAGACGGCGTTAGCGGTGGTGATGACTAGAGGATAGAGGCTCGGTGTGGGTCCTTCGTGCACAGTTCATCATGCAGGTTTTCGTTAACTGGTACGTACCTGGTACTTTGTAACCCGGCATTGTAACGCGGAATTCCTAGCCCTTGGTGTTCCACAAATCATGCAGATTTTCGTAAACTGGTGTTAGATCTTACCGCGAACCCCTGATGGATGGCCTTCCACTCTAAACCCGTCATGAATCAACGCCTGCCCCCCCCCAAATGTCGGCATCACATCACAACGTCAACGATGCTACATGTTTTATGCCGCCGCCCAAACTACGCTTGCTTCCTTTAAGCGCGTAGTGTAGACACCGGTTTCGCGGACAGACGGGGCTGTTAACTCAGTGCACAGCAAAAGCCAAACGTACAAGAAGAGTAGGTACCCCCCGCAGACCACACAACCAGAAAAACTCCGACGAACAGTTGATGATGTCGTTGGACTCCCCCCCCCCCCCCCTTCATTGAAAACACCAGCGCCCGCCACCGCCTTTGGTGCCCCCCCTCCGGTCCGGGTGGTTTTCCTCTTTTGTTCATTGTTGGAACGTTTGGTTTGTCCGCGTTCGACCGGTGGATGACAAAACTTACTTCGTTCGTATCTTCTGTTGTACCATGCCACAAAACGAACCACAAGATTGGCACAACCTCTATAACGTGCTTCCAACACACAAAACTGAAAACATTGAACCCAGGGGAGGCGGGATCGAAACGGCATCAAGAGACATCGGTTACAGCAACAGGAGAGTGAGAAAGAGAGAGAGAGAGAGAGAGAGAGAGAGAGAGAGAGAGAGAGAGAGAGAGAGAGAGAGAGAGAGACCATGGAACCAGTTCTCCCTTCCTATACCCACAATCCCAGAAAATTGAGAAAATAACGCCTCCTGGCCACGTACCTACCAATAGATTTTACAGCAGACTGTGAGCCCAAGCAACTGAAGTAACAGATAACCCGGAGTGCAAAAATGCTTTTCGTTTTCGAAAAGAGTCTCACACGGTGGGCAACAACGGCAGCATCCAAGAAACGAAACCACGCTGTCCCAAACCATGTCAACAGCTCGTCCCGCCGACAGCGGCAACAACAACAGCAGTGGGGGGCCGCGCCCATACATACACACCCGAAGAGTGGAAGCAAGCTAGCCGCCCCCCGCCCCCCTCGCCGTAGCACAAAAAATGCCCAAACGTCCTGCCTACTATCGAGAAACCCGGGTACGCGCTTAACACTCGACACCCGAGACGTCAACGCACGGAAATTAGTTCGCCACCTTTACACCATCCATGCCATCAGCGTGTACCGCCAGATCCTCAACGTATGTGCCCCAAGGTCCTCAAACCCGCGACAGCAGCAGTGCCACTGGCAACCCACGACACGGGTCACCGTCCCATCAATTCGCTCCTCTCACCCATCTCAGGAAACCCGGAACTCCCGGGAACACAAGGCGAGCAGGTCGAAGGAAAACCACTACCACAACCAAAACACGGGCAGCTCGATTCTTCTCATCGGCGGGGCTCATCCCCCTGTCTTTTGGCCAAACCCGGCCACAAAACAGCTATTAACAGACCACCCAAACCACCGTGGCTATCTCCTTAGGCGTGATTCTCCAATGTCCCGTATACTCGGTTCCGCGAGAGGGCCGGGGTGTTGGTTGCTCCTCCATGGCATCTCATTGGCTGCCTCCGCCTCCCATCTCCCTCTTCATTTGATCCAATTCGGACTCCACCGCTGGGGAGGAGGAGGGTAGCTGGGGGGTAGGTCCCTTCTTCGACGGGAGCTGAAAAAAAAACACAAACCACACGAGACAGAACAAGGGACAGTGGTAAGACAGAATGAGGGAGGGCATGGGGTAGTGGAAAGCACTGGAGAAAAAGAGAGAAGGGGGGGAGAGAAGACGAGAGAGGAGAGAGAAAGAGACAGACAGACAGACAGACAGACAGACAGACACAGACATAGAGCCACAAACACACCTACATCGACACCCACACCTACGCCCAAAAAGGTCAATCGTCAAGCCGTCCCGTTATCTCTACACCTCGGCGCCGTCAACATCGAACGACACACCCCTAGACCACGCACAAACATCGCCGCCCCCCTACACCTCCCCACCACAACGCCACCAAGACCAAATGCCCACGACCACACCAAGACAACACACAAGCCGAGTCCAGTCCGCAGCTCACCACGCCCTTCATCCTTGCCAGCTCGTCGTCGATGGCGTTGTTCCCCTCCAGCGCCTTGAACTGCCCCTCCAAAGACACGCTCGTCGCCCCCGACAACTCCCCGGCGATCTACCGCAGCAGCAGCAGCATAAGTGTAACGTTTTTTTTTCACGTGAAGTGATTTTTCTTTTTTTTTTAAATAATTTTTTTTTTCACGCGTACGAAGTCACCCGCGAGATACACAGCAGCAGCAGCGGTAGTGAGATTCACAAGTGTAACGTTTTCTCGTCACGTGGAGCGGTATTTTTTTTCATTATTTTTTTTTTGTCGCCCGTACCAGGTCACCGGCGGTCGACCGAGGTACCAGCAGCGGTGGTAATGGTGGATGCAAGTGTAACGTTTATTCTTTGCTTGTAACGTTTTCTGCCGGTGCGGCGAGATTTCGAGTCCAACGGTAGCCTGGTTGCTTAGTTGATGGTGTTCTCGATCGGAATCGTGCAGCACACACGGAAAAAAACGGCATGGACCCACCCATAACATCGCACGCCGTCCGCTGACAACACGCAACAGCAAAAAAAGGCACCACGTGTACGAGCAGCTAAGGATGCACACAGCGCGTGTGGCGCGAGCTCAGGCAAGACGACTCCTTAAAGGGGGTGCACTCATGTGTTGCATGCCTTAGCTGTTAGGTCATTCACCACGGTGGGGTGGTGGTGGTGGTGGGGGCGTGCTCACGTAAACGTTTGCCGTATTTATTAATAGTCGTTACAGATCATTGGCCTCGCATCCCTACAACGGGTGGGGGGATGTACTGATAGCCGTGCATGCCGTAGTCGTTAGACCATTGACCTTGCATCCCAGCAAAGCCACTGGGACGGAGCACGCCGGGTTTTCACCGGTCCAGGCTAGCACATTACCAAGCGCGAAGCGCCGTGAGGTATTCGGCGAGTCGCATGGAGGGTGCGCTCGCTGCATCCTGTCAAGCGTGTTCGGCATCTTGTACTTCTTTCCTTGCAAAATGGGAGGGTGGGTGGGTGGGGGGCGGGTATACTCATAGCCGGCCGTGCATGCCACAGTCGCCGTTAGACCATAGACCTAAAATGGGTGGGGGTTGAGTGAGGGTTGAGTGAGGGTTGAGTGAGGGTTGAGTGAGGGTGGGTACTCACCTCGGCGTTAGCCTCCAAGTTCTCCACCTTCTCCGTCATGCGGTCGAAGGCGTCCATGCTCGTCGTGCCCGTGATACTCCCCAGCATGTCGTTCACCTGAGTCGTCGTCTTCGCCGTCCGCGCACGGGCGATCAGGGTCTCCTTCTGGCCCTGCGATTGTGTTGTCGTCGTTGTCGTCATTGGGCACAAAAGAAGACGGCAATCACCGGTGACGGCGGTGTCGGTAAGCAGGGATCTGAGACTTAGAGAATGCCGTGAATAAATGGCGCGGAGTTGAAAGCAAACACCGTACAAAGCGAGCGACGACGAACGCACAGACGGGTGCGCGAATCAACGGGCTCGATTGCTACTTACTCGGAACGGTGCTCTACACGCGGGTTTTCTACACGCAGGGTGGCGTGCTCAGAGCCGATCCTTCCATGTTCCATCACCTAAAACGTATGGTATGGTGTTCAAAACGACGGGTTGGCTACACGCAGGATGGCGTGCGCGCAGCCGATTGTTCCATGTTCCACCATCTACAACCGTATGTTCTTCAAAATTACGGGTTGTCTGCACGCAGGGCGTCGTGTGCGCAGGCGATCTTTTCATCCACCATCACCCTAAAACGGCATGGCGTTCAAAATTACGGGATTTCTGCACGCACGGTGGCGTGTCGATTGTTCCATGTTCCCTCCCCGAAAACGGTATGCATACGTTGTTCTACACACGGGTTTTCTACACCCAGGGTGGCGTGGGCGCAGGCGATCATTGCATCCACCATCACCTGAAACGGTGTACTACGGTGCTCAAAATTACGGCTGTTCTGCACGCAGGGTGGCGTCTCGATCGTTTCATTTTGCCTACTCGATCTACCTTCGCCTCCGTGATCTTGGCCTCGAGCTGCTGCATCGAGTCCCTCAGCTTGTCCAGCGCTTGCCCCTGCGCGTCCATCTGCATCCCCATGCTCCCGGACGTGTCAAGCTGCGACAGTGTGTGTGTGTGGGGGGGGAGGGTAATGACGATGTAGAAGCGGATGGCCATGCTGCCGGCCGGACGTATCAAGAATCAGCGGCAACAACAGTGGCGGCGGTGGCGGCAGCGGCACCCAACATCGACGACAACAGCAACACATGCTTACAAAAAAATGCAGCTGCCGACAACAACAGAAACAACAGCAAAAAAAAAACAAAAACAAAACAATGCAGCCTCTTGATAACACAACAGCAGTCAACAACATAAGAATTACAGACTGCAAACACCACAACAAGACCAGAAAGGGGGAAAAGACAACCGTATGTACCTGCTGCTGCCGACGGCAACAGAAAACAAGAGCGAACGAACAAAAAACAACAACGCAGCCGCTGACAATATCAACAACAACAACAACTGAAAAAAAAAACACTGCAACACCGCAAGAAAACACAGATGAGACAACCGTACAACAGCAGTACCTGCTGCTGCCGCCTTGCGAGCGCCTCCCTCGCAAGGTTCTCGTCCCCGTTCTGAAGCGCCAGCTGCGCGCGGTCGTACCAGTTCGCTGCCAGGCGGTCTGCCTCCTGCTTCTGCCGGTCCATGCGCTTCTGAGTTGCCGACACCTGGAAGGGTTCATGACGCGGGAGGGGAGACAATACCGTACACGAGCACAAGATTTGAACGAGAATGATTGGCTGCTTCGGAAGGTCCATGCGATTCTGAGTTGCCGACCCCTGAAGGGTGGATGCAGCGGGGGAAACACCACCACACGATAGCCAAGAGTTGAGCACAGTAGCCTGCTGCCGAGTCTGCCGGTCCATGCGCTTCTGAGTCACCGACACCTGACAGGGTTAATGCGGGGGGGGGGGGGATACCATAACACAGAGCATAAAGGGGAAAACAGGTCTGCGAAGATGCTACCTTTGCTGCATGAGGGGGGAAAAAAATCGGCCACACTACTACCATACCCCATCAGTCTTAACGATACATCGCTTGACCAGACCAGGTCTGCGATGTCGCTGATGCAACAAACACCGCCACCACCGTCTAAGGGCGACGACTTTCATGATTGCACAGCAAAGCTTAGCGCGGCATATTTACCTCGGCGTAGGACTGCCTGATCTTGACCAGGTCCTTCTGCATGTCTTCCACCGCTTGCTCCAGGATCTAACAGAATAAAATTCAGAGAAAATTCCAGCGGTCGCCAGCAGAAAACACGTGGTGCATACATATTGAAATCAGAGACGAGAACTTAATCATGCGCATGCGAGGAGAGGAAGGAGAGAAGTGGGTGTAGGCAACGGGATAGCAAGAGAGGAGATTTCCTGAGCTCTGCAGGAGCACAGTTATGTCGATAACATTCGCTGGTTCGATAGACTAAATTTACAACACAGCAGTGTGTAGCCTACATTCGCCTTCAGCAAAATTTCTCTACAACAGTTGAGCATCAGAAGAGACATGCCTCCTCCTATAGACCTGTGATTCTACTTTGAGGCCCCCCTACATGACTTAAAACACCGATTCGGGCGGGGCATCCCACCGGATGCATCACGCACGACGCGCGGCACGCTGTTTGCAACGAACGATGCCCTGCGAGAGCCCATGAATCGACACCTCAGGCGTTCCGTTTACTTCAACTTTTTCGGCCCCGCACCCTTGGGCTGCGATTGCACGGACCTGGGACCGCAGTTACCGAAATAGAGCCAGTGCACAGCAGTAGAGACCCCAACTGCTGCGGTGCACCGCGTGCCGCAGCCTCTCTGAGTCTGTTCCATGTGTGTCTGTGCGTTTAAAGCGCTAGCATCGACCGCCCTAACCGGCTGACCAATGAAAAGACGTCAGCCTTACAGTGGGGACAAAACTACGCGAACACGTCTTCTGGTAGGGCACCGTGTGTTCTGTGTTTCGTTGGTGTCTTGGCATCGACGGCGCCAACCGGCTGACGAATGAAAGTACAGCCGTCTCAGCACCCCAAATACCGGACAAAAGCCTGCGGCGATAAAAAGCCTCAAAACGCCATGATCTCGGACCCGTGAATAGCGGTGACGGGGAAGGCTAGGCTATCCGCCGAACTCTAGAAGGAAACGCTATTATAACAGAAGGACCATGTAGAAGGAAACGGTAACAGAAGAAAGGACCATGCACGTGTCTATACAAGAAATTCCAGCGTCGGGCACACGATGGAAAGACCGCAGTTGCCGCTCGGCATGTGTCCAACGAAGCCGCCTGACCGACGCGCCAGTGCCAAATCTCGACAAAGGACCCACTCGTGCCGGCGACTCTTCCGCGCTCTCTCACAACATCACAATGCACACCCGCCCGTTCACCGCACGGCACACGAGCGACCGTAAGTGAAACCGACAACACAGCAGTCATCATGGGTTTCCCGAGGCTTGGCCTGTCCTGGGTTGGCTGACGAAACCCGCCGCTCGCATCTAGGGAAGGCATTCCCGAGATGCGGTCGCCGGGATCTCTCGGCCAGCCCAGGACATGCCCGACGAGGGAAAGCACCCATCTTGACTGCTGCAGGATCGATTCACGTGCGGTTGCTTGAGTGGAGCGGTGAACGGGTGAGAGCCCGGTTGGTGGGAGCAGCGTTGTATGCGAGAATGAGGGCGCAGTCCGCCGGTGGCGCGCCGCCGCCTTACATCACACCCACCCACCCACCCACCGCACCACCCAAGCAACCCCAAGCGAACCGATACAGCACACAAGATGGGGGTTGCCCTAGGTTCGGTCTCGTCGGCTAGCCATGTCCTGGCCTGGCTAAGGAATGCCGGCGCCCGCAGTCCGAAAGGTGGCCCGAGCAGAGTCAAAGGTGCGTGCCCTCACCGGCCCAGCATCAGTGAGGACACCCACCATTGATTCTTCTCGGGAGACCTTCCCGATATGCTGGTGCGGGCTTTCCTGAGCCAAGCCCAGGACATGCCCGACCAGGGCACACCTAGGGGAAAAACACCCATCTCGACTGCTGCAGGATCGATTCACGTGCGATTGCTTGTTGTGTGGAGCGCGGTCACAAGGTGAGCGGGATTGTTCGGAGCGTTTTGCTCCGGAGCTTGGTAGCGCAGGGCGTTGGGTGTGCGTACGTACGAGCGGGCAGTCCGTCGTGGGTATCGACCCGGGGGTATACGATCCGAAATTCGGATCGTGTTTTCTTCATTGACTCTGTGTTTCAGAGTTCGGCAGAACCGCCAGAACGCGGGTTTCATTGTAGTATTTGATTTTAAATTATTTGTTCACTTTAGGTTTTGGGGATGAGCGGGAAGTTTGAAAAACAACCTCTTCGTGTTTCCGCCCAATTCTACCCTGGGTTCCATAATTTGGTTGTGGAAACCAAAGAAACACACTGTAGTCCGTAGAACCCGGTTATCGCGGTCGATGCTAAAACACACACACACACATACACACAGATACATACACATACACACACATACACACACATACACACACATACATACACATACATACATACACATACATACATACACATACATACACACACACACACACACACACACACACCTTCTCAGGGTCCTCCCAGGTCTGCAGGATGTTGTTCAGGTTCGCCTTCGCAACCACACATACACACACATACATACACATACATACATACACATACATACATACACATACATACACACACACACACACACACACACCTTCTCAGGGTCCTCCCAGGTCTGCAGGATGTTGTTCAGGTTCGCCTTCGCAACCCGCAGGAAACGATCAGCCAGGTTCATCTGAAGCGCGGTCGACGAGCCCCCGCTGGTTCGCCAAGAGGGCGAGCGCCGGACATGGGACTGGGCGGAGACAATCCCCTGCACGAACAAGAGACATACACAAATAAAACGAGAGAGAGAGCGGGTGGGGGGAGACGGAGAGAGAGGGGGGGGGTGGGGGGGGGGGGGGGGGGGGGCCGGAAAAGAAAAAAAAAAAAAAAAACCTTCTT